AGTTGCTCTAATGCTCTATAATATTTTGCTCTTGCTATAATGCTCTATAATATTTTGCAAATCTGAGGAAGGGAAATCAGTGAAGGGTGCCAATTTGTGGATTGCCTCTGAGCACATAATCCTAATTCAATGATGACTTGGCTATAAAAGATTAGGATTAGGTGCAAGGTTCTTCTACCAGTAGAAATGTCTTCTGCCAACTGGTCTCAAAGCTCTGCCAAGAGAGAATCGGCTGATAGAGCAATATGTTGGTAAAACTGTTTTGCTATTAAGAATCTGTCAGCAGAAGTGCCAAAAAGGTAAGGAAATGTGATAGATGAAGGAGAAGCCCAGTTATGCCAGGTCTAAATTTCCATTAGCTCAGGGACACAGCCAGAACTTTGGCACAAAGTTAGGCTAGGGATGAAACATCATGTTTTAGGGTCTGGTACCAACCAGATCCTGTATGATCTTGAACCCATATACCTGATTAGTGCTTTGATGAGGGCCATCAAATATTAGTTGCTGTAGGTCATATTGCAGAAGATGGTAATGACAACCTACTTATGAGTAGTCTTGGCCTTGCAAAATTAGTCCCTCAAAGCCCTACAATTTTTATTGTAGGTTCTGACATGATAAACAAGACATCTTGGTCCATTGTCCCATTGCTGTTATTCATGAATGCTAATTTTCCAATTCCCCACATCTTACTTTCTGCCACAGTCAGCTCTACTCTGGGAAAAAATCTCCAGGGTTATTATCTCTTCACTGAAAATTAGTTGCAGTTGTTTCTTGTAAATCTCATTTAATAGTGTAAGCAGGAATAATTCATACTGTTTCAGAAGGAAAAAGTATATAAGGATCACTGGGATATCTGTGAAGTAGAGGTGAGCTTCTTTTGCCCTCCTCCTCCTCTATGAATGTTGAAGTAACATTATAAGATGGACAAGATAACAAAGGCAATTAATGAAGAAAAAACATAGGTGAGGCAACAGCAGTTTGCTCTTGTCTGGGCCTACTAGGAAAAGGAAGATCTTCCTTGTCTTCTTCCCACTGCTGACTTACTTGAGTCCAAATTACTTTTGACTTGGAACTCAGTTTGCAGCAACTGAAAATAGTTCAAAGGCAAAAAGGTGGGCAGAGAAGAAACTGGGAGCATATCTGCACTGACCAGTTATCCCGAAGGCAAGTGAGTCAGCTCCATGGGGGCTACATTGATTTGTTAATGTGTGCTTGAACTGCATTAACCAAAAACACAAGTTGCATTGAATTCTCCCCAAGAAACTAGATCAAACCGTATCTTTAGGCCCATGTAGGGTGTTTGGCTACTTACAAAGAAACAAAAAACAAAAACAAACTGGTTGCAACTATTCACATAGTCCCTTACACATAGACACTTACTAGTCTCTCCCCCCATCCTTTTCATCATTGTGGTGTCCAGCAGGTGTGACATGGCTCATATCAGTTGCTTGACACCTGGATTGGTGCTAGCCAGAGCAACAAGGCAATTGGAGAAGGGAAGGGAAAAAGGAGAGGGTGATTCCTCCTTTTCCCCTCCCGTATCCTAACCAATGTCACTTCAGGCAATGAGTCATGCCATGCCTGCTAGCTTCAGTGATTATAAGAACAATAAGGAAACAGTAAGGGTAGACATCCAGCAGCATTGCTAGGTTCAGCATTACTGGATGGCCAGGATTCTCTTCCAGCTCCACAACTGCCAGGGAGCTGACAGTCAAAACTATCCTGGGATCGATTCAGTGGTGTTCACCACTTTGGATCAGCCACAGGATAAATGGTCCATGTAGAGCCACCCTAGGGCATGTTAAAAGCAGATGAAAGAGTGGGAGGGTGGGATTAATTGGAACTACCACTACTAAATCAAGACGGAGGATATGGGTCATTTTCAAGGGTAAGAGAGGGTTGGATTCAGCACCACATTGGCCCAGTGTCTGCTCAACTGGCCCTGGACCATATTGGACAGTTAGGATTAGATTGTAACTTGACAGGAACAGAAAGACCCAAGAGCAATATTGGAGATCTCTTTTTGTCTTCATTTCCACTTTTTCTCTTTCTGGCTCACTCTTCTAACTATTGAGAGAGAGATTAGGAGGCAGTTAGGAGAGGGAATGAAAACCAGTATGGATTTCTTTCACCCTTTTCTTTCTTTCTTTCTTTCTTTCTTTTTATTGAGGGGATATATATATATATACACACACACACATAAATACACACACACATATGCATACACATGCACACTCTTCTACAAAAGACTTTTGAACTTTAGCACTGGGCACATTCCAGGGCAAAGAAATAGCAAGGCCCAAGGTGTCTGGTGCCTGTTTTTCCAAAGCAGTCACTGCCAAGACAAATATATCAACGAATTAATTAAAACTTAAAGAGCTGGAAAAACCCTTCACAATAACCTCATATTCATGGAGAAAGAATGAAGTAGGCCCTCTTTCTAAAACATGTGTGAGTGCATGCAAGTCCTGCATACACCTTCCATGTTGTTTCAACAAATACAGCTGCAATATGGCCTGTGTTCACATTTCAATGCTCCCAGCAGCAGCATGATTGCCACATGCCAGGTCCCTGGACAGCCAACCTAGCCATCTTCCCTTGAAAAGAAAGAATAGAAACATCGGCCCAAGTCATTTACTGAAGCCATTGTTTCTTGCTTTCTTGCCACCTGTGATGAAAAGTAACTCAAATTGTTGTACCAATCAGGTGGCTGCTTAATGGAAACATGATTAAGAAAGAGAAATTGTGTTATCTCCTCCCCATGTAACATGATGACACAGATTTCCATAATATTTGCCTATGCTAATTTATATACAGATTCAAACAGAAATACCTGTCCTTCGACACTGGTGGATTTTATTATTCATTATTTTGATTAAGATTTTCTCTCTAGGAATCCCTTTGCCTCCCAGTGCATCTCCATAGATGGACCCATCTACTCCTCAAAGCTGTCAGTTCTGCCCATTAGCTGCCACTGAGCCCAATCCACAGACCAACACACTAGGAGACAGTAAGATGAATAGGGCTCAGCTCTTCCTTCTCTTTACTCCTGTCACCGCTTACTTGCTTACAGGACACACACACAACAGACTGGGAAAGCAAATAGAAAGAAGAGAAACAGAGAGCATTATAGTTGGGCCATCACTGGAATGAGATATCACTATGGTTGGTGCCCAGTGAAGCCAATCCCCAATGGTGGTCCTTGGGAGATCGATGTTTTCAAATTCATTGGTTAAGAACAAACTTGAATTTAAAAACATCAATTTTCATGGTCGTTTCTCCCCTTTAACACATCGGGTACAGAGTTTGTCCACAAGGAACTCAGGCTACAAACAAATAAATAAATTAAAAATATGTTTGTGGAGTGCCTTTCCCCCTTAAACACTGCAATCCCAAGTGGTAGAGCTTTCTTCAAGGTTTTGGGTTTTCTTTCCTGGCATCTCTAGGCAAGGTTGAATACACTGAAACATTTTTTTTGGTGTGTGTTTCCAGCTTCCAGGAGTAGCCACGCCAAACAAAATGTAGGGAGGGAGAGAAAAGTTGATCCTCTAACTCAGTGGTTCGCAATCTTTGGTCCTCCAGGTATTTTGGACTTCAGCTCCCACAATTCCTAACAGTTGGTAAACTGGCTGGGATTTCTGGGAGTTGAAGTCCAAGACACCTGGAGGACCACAAGTTGGGAACCACTGCTCTAACTGAATGAGAAAAGGGCTAGAAAAGGCAACATATACCCTGAAATGATTGTTTAAAGGAATAATGCCTGAAAATCTATATTCACCAACATATTACAAGTTGTTATGTTACTTCACTAAAGATATTATTATGGTACTCTCATTGTTCCCGCCCCCCAAAGTAACATGCTACAGACAACACAGCTATTTGTGATACTTTATGTTGTTGTTGTTCATTCGTTCAGTCGTCTCTGACTCTTCGTGACCTCATGGACCAGCCCACGCCAGAGCTCCCTGTCGGCCGTTACCACCCCCAGCTCCCTCAAGGTCAGTCCAGTCACTTCAAGGATGCCATCCATCCATCTTGCCCTTGGTCGGCCCCTCTTCCTTTTGCCTTCCACTTTCCCCAGCATAATTGTCTTCTCTAGGCTTTCCTGTCTCCTCATGATGTGGCCAAAGTACTTCAACTTTGTCTCTAGTATCTTTATCTCTGTGATACTTTATAGTTAGGGATAACTTAAACTTACATGGTCTATTCAGAAACCTGCAAATTAATAATGTATTGGATACAGATGCTGAGATTTGGGCAGTTTGTGTTGCAATAGAAATACTCTGTCCACTTTTAGCATGGAATATATGTATGSGATGAAGTYGCCAATATAAGGTTTMGRCTTTCCAATCACAAAACCTGTTTCCTCYTGGAA